TTTGACAGATTTGAATATACCAGGTGGCCTCCTCAAACCAGAGTGATGCATCTACTTGAATATAAAACATGCCATGCACTCACCTTTTTCCCAGGGTGCTGAGCGGCGTGCTGAGGCTGAGTGGAGCTCGAACAGGTTTGCGGTTGCGTCCGGTCAGTTTCGCGGCAGTCGGTTCTTTCTTCGGGGACTCCACCTTGCGGGCCGGGCTGGAGCCGGGCTTGATGTTGAGGTCCTTCAGGACGTCGTAGTTGATCTTGGTGGAGATCCTCTTCTGCTCCAGCATCTTCTCGATGGCCTCGTCGGCAGTGTTGGCCCGGATTGGGGGACGCTTCTTGATGGGTCCTCTAGGCTGTCGGGGTTTAAAAAAGAACCACAAATTAGAGAACCCACATCATACTGAGCAACAACATCTGGGTGGTATTTAAGATTTTCTGCCTGCTCAGGTGCCAGATGTCATATATGATGGTTTATTGTACAGCTTCAGGCCAGAACCTGGAGGGGAGGTGTGATCTGCTCCTCAAGACATCTTAATTAACTTTGATAGAAAACAAAAAAAAAAGCTGGGAAACTTCTGAATGACGGATACAACAGTGTTCCTTCTTCTGCACTTGAGGAAAAAACATTGTATTTATTGCTTCCACGACAACAGCCATGCCAAGCTAAATGCTAATGTCAGCATGCTAACACATGCATCATTGTGCACCTTCCCACGCATGATAGACATTAAATGACAGACAAAACAAGACTCAATCCTATTTTAGGTTTCAGTTCGCTTTGCACAGAAACAGTCGGTAGAAACGTCATTTAGAGAAACGTTGTACTTTATTACTCTGAGTACATTTCAGAGCTTATACTTTTTCACTTTCACTTGAGTAAAGAAGTTAAATCAGTACTTGTATGTGTGTACTGTATAAATACAATTATTCATAACTAGTAATAAACTAGTTAGACTGGTTTATTACTGAACCTGCCCATCACTGTGGAAAAACCTGTAGCAAGATTCTTCTCTCAGATTAACAACCAACATCGCCCAGACTGCGATTACAGCGCCATATGATTAAAACTTTGTAGACAATCAAACTTTTTACTCCAATCCTACTCTGCAAATGAGGGTCAAATGTTATCTGGAAAAATTCTGTCTTCCTATTAGACCATTTAGGTCCCAGATGGGAGAGATTTGCCCTCTAAAAAAAGGGGGGGAAAAGGGTAATTTCAGACCACCAGAAGAACATCTCTGCTCTAGTTTACAGCTGAACACATTTCTGTAATCAGCAATTTATCTCAATTAAGACACCAGATTGGGGTTATCACCCTGTTTCAGTTATTCCTCATTCACCTTGACCTCACTCCAAATTACAGCTACAGATCAGCAAAGTTTCTCTTTACGGAAAAACAAACACATTTCATGCAACAGTGACATTAAATCTCAAGTTTCTGAACAGTTTCCTTTCAGGAGATTTAACTTAAAACCCTTTTGTTCAGCCGACAGTAAATTGCCCCTTACAGCAGCAGCTAATCAACTCAGGGTGTTAATTGGTAGAAACTTACTTTATGTTGTGCATGAAAATAAGAGCGTGCTCAGTTTTATTTATTCATTCACTCACTCACTCATTTGGCAGTGAAATGACAGTGTGCTGTTGGTTGGATGAGTGCTGTCAGGAGGCTGCATGTCTCATTAGATCTGCAGTTAATCCAGCTAGTTAAAACCAGTGAGCAGATGTTGGGTCTAACAAAGGGCCTGCACTGTGCCAAAACCAGTAATGGGATATGAGAGGGAACTTGTTTAGTCTATCTGATCATCTGTCTGTCTTTACTCTGCATCTGTCTCACAGCGTCACTCCGACGGTCAGTCTCTTTAAATGACTATACAAGAGTCTGACTGACGGTATTACTTCTAGTGTTGACACAATCTGTCAGTTAGTCAATTAGCAGACTGCCCTGTGAGAAATAATGGTTTTATACAAGTTTGGAAGGTGCAGATTTCAGATAATAGATTATAGTCGTTAGGTGGTCGGTTAAAAATATGAACAGATTTATGAGACATTATATCTGACTGATGCTTTCTCTCCTGACAAACTGTTTTCCTTTATCTCTGAGCATCTGACCACCGCACTGCCTCCCATCAACTTCCCGTCTGCTGTTACCTTCTTTTCTTTGTAGATCCCAAGCTCCTTTTCCTTCGCTATCTTCGCTTCCTTCTCTGAAAGCAGAAGACAAGAAACAGTCTGAACATACAAACTCTGAGATAACGATATCAATACGATACAGTGGCCCACAAGTTAAACTCTGCTAAGTTCCGCTGGAGGTTTAACTGATAAAATACTGACAGTGGAAAGGGACATTTTGGGGACAAACCAGCCACTGCAGACAAATAACAGTTAAATTCTGCCTTGAAAACACAATCTGCACACAAATCATGTGGCATCCTGAAAGTACCTTTCTGCTCTTTGAGGTAGTCGGAGTTTTCTGCCATCCACAGCGCCGTCTTGATTTTTATTTCTTTGTCACTCAGCAGATACTGCGGAGAGGCAGAGAGAGTCAGTGAGGGAGAACAATGATTGCACCAAATTACCTGTATTTTTGGGTATTTAGGTAAAACAGTCTCTTGCCAAACGCTTTTACTCTTCCACTGTACTTGTACCATAAAGCAACCTATACAACAGTCCTGCCACAACCTTCATCATTAAATCCTACGTTCATGTATTTAATGTGTTAAATATTTAGTTTTATTGATATCTGAACACACAGATTTCTCATCCATGGACATAAACAGTGATGTATTGATAATCTGGTGCCAATCTAAAGTCAGCAGGGCAAAAACAAGTCTTGTATTTTAAAGGTTATATACATGAGATTAGCAGCAAACAACTATTAGCTATGTAAAGATACAGTGGAGTAATGGTGTCACACTCCCTCTGCCTGTGTTGCTATGGACTGAAACTGCTGTTTCTATCATCTACATCTGTGAATTAAGGAGTTAGTGATTGTTGGAAAGACTAGAAAAGTTGGTTTTGTTAAGCTTTATCTTGTTTCTGTGAAGTTTAAAGCGTGTTTTACAATTATCTGTTAGTCTGGTGGGACGTAGCGTCTAATTGTTTTGGTGTGAGATGGTGATGTGTAAGATACTGAAATAGTGTGAGTACTTCATTTTGGATCTGCAAGTGTGGACTGATTACTACACTTTAAAATGGATAATTTAGCTTTTGCCATCATACATTTCTTTTTTAGTCTAATTGTATTCTGTTTAACTAACATGAAAGTCCCCCATTTGATTAGATTTTATATTAGATTTTCATAATTTGTGAATTTGAATTAGTTTGTAAATAATTTTGTAACCTGAGTTTTAAAATGTTTTAAATGATAAAATGTTGAAAGATTCCTGTCATACAATGTTAATAAATTCTTCTGGATGTGCATCAACAACCAACCAAAATTCACTAAAATATGTTTCAGTTTTGCTTCATCCTGCTAACAGAAAACAGCATTAACATTATAAACACAGAACAATAACAAAGGACTTTGCTCATTTCTAAGAGCTCTTACAGCATCTTCAGGAAAGAGAATATAGTTTAGTGGTAAGAAGGTTCGTTGATGTTCATTTTAGGAACTTGCACATGTTAGACAGTGTGGACCTCATTAATCAGCAGGTACATACCAGCTCTATCTCACTGTCATCGATCCCACTCAGGTCCAGCTCCCCACTGTCAGCAGCACCATCTGTCACAGAGACAACAATCACAACGGACACACTTAGAAAATTTGCTGTAACGCACATTTTCACGGCAGCTTCCTCGTCCCAGAGGGGTGAAACAGGAAACAGCAGCTGGCCAGACATAAAAAAAGAAAAACACACCTCCAACATCCTGCTGCATCTCTTCCCAGTGGAAGTGCTGTGGAGCATCTTCCATCGGGGGTTAATCAGCAAATAAAACGCACTGTGACTCCTGATAAGACGCTAATAGGCTTAACTCGCGTTTAAGCGGATCTACCTTAACACACTTTCTTTTCAATTACGATACGCTTTCTAGATTGCGGCACGCTTTATTTTGAAACAGGGAGATGCTGAAATGGCAATTTGCATTTCTCATGCTGCGACGCCCCGAGAACGCGTTCCCCGCTTTCACCTACGCTTTTTCAACTTCTGTGCAATTTGAGAAAAAAAAAAAAAACATACATTTTAATGTGTTGATAAAAGAAAGAGGCATTTGAAATCTCTCGGTGTGCACACAGTTCAATTCTGGGAGAGGAAAAGGTTCAAAGCGAATCTGATTGACTTTGATAAAGGAAACAAAAGGAAGGAGCGGGTGCAGGCTTTGACAGTGGAAGAAATGCAACAGCTTTCACTCCAAAAGATCCTCCACCTTGATTAGCAGTTTTGGAACAAAGTGCGACTCCTCTCTGGCTGCCTGCAGACATCACACAGTCAATCAAAAGGAGTAAAGTTAGAAAGAAACGTTTTAAAGAGGCAGCGAGCGGCAGGTTTATGGGAGTCGTTTAACTTCTGTCAGCTTTCTGGCTTTGACGCGTTCACAGGGGCCCTCCTTCCTCGAGTTCAAACTCCCAACAGGGCGGCAACTTCAAAGACGTTGCCACCTGAGTCCACAGGCAGCTTTCCCGCTTCATTAAGGGGAGACGGGTGCACAGACGAGGAAGAGGAATACACCCATCCTCAGATAGTAAAGGGTGTGTTCTCCCCCATAGCCGTGGAGGAGGAGAGGGGGGGAGATAATCTAGTCACCCATTTTAGTTCAGTTTGCTTTAAAAAAAAAAAAAAAAGAGAAACCGCTCCAGAGTGAAGAGACAGGTCAGTCGCTATCTGCCGGGCCCAGCCCTCTAAGAACTTCCTCTGCGTGAAGTGTGAGGGGGAGATAAGATGGAGACAAGCCCTGGGAGAGATTGGCAGCTCCGGGAGGCAGAGAGGCAGCGCGACTAAGAGCTGATAACACCAGTCCAACCCCCGGAGAGAGGAGGAGGGAGGGAGCAATTACCGAGTTATTATTCAGCCGCTGCTTTGATATATCTACACTCGCTAATTTGATCAAACCCATAAAATTGTTCTTGGTGAGCGTGTAGAAGAATCTGCAGACCTGAGGATCAGAGCGGTATATAGGCAGAGTAAATCAGGAAGGTAGAGTTCAGATATGAGACGGGAAGAGTTTTTGGCGTTTTTTTTTTTGTCCTTGATGATGTAGAGAGTAGATGGCACAAGAGACGACCCCCAGGAGGTCATGTGACAGATGTCTTGGTCCAGACTAGGACCCAAGATGTTGGACCGGGTGCGGTTTATGAGTTTATAAGTGTGTAGGATGTAGTGCTGACTGCAACCAACTGAATACAGCTCAGCCTTCCAAGTGTGTAGGAGAAACTTCGGTGGCCACGTAAAATCTAGTCCAGCTCGTGTTTGTTTGTCCCAGAGCTAAACGATATGGTAAAAACATCATATTGCGATATGATTTGCAATTAGTTCAGGAATGATAATCTTTAATTTCCACTGTTGTACCAAACAAACATTGTTATTCTTAAATCTGAAGAACAAGATTTGTAGACCAGGGCGTTACTGCAGTACTACAGTACGTCTCATTCTAAGGTAACAAAAACAACAATTCTTATTTTCAGGTGATTATACGCAAATGAAAACATATCTATGAATA